AATGATGCAAAAGTGCTTGGTTTTTGGTCCTCTAAAACAAGCAATTGAAATTTCTTATGTGCAGAAACTTGTGTTGCACGGTGGTACAGTGAAAAATACAACAACAATACAATTTTATCGGATTTTATGGCAGCTTTACTTCTCCTTTTCTGTTGACAGCTATAAGCATTCAAAATTTGATAATTTAGGCAAACGAGACAGTAAAAAAAACAATAAAGATAAGTTCCGATATGTTTCAACATTTATTTTAGAAATACGCAACAAAATGTGTTTTAATTTAAATGGTTTGTGATGATCTTTTATGAATTGAACTGATTGATAAATAATATATAAGTAAAAACGAAAAAAGAAAGGAAAATAAATTTAAAGAAACTAGATTTAACACAGAATTGTTTCATTTTTTTTTGGTTTTTGGCCGATTTTGGCTCAGGCACTTCGAGGTAGCTTTTTCATTGCGTTTAATTGCATTTCTGGAGCACTGGCTTATCGCCTTCATTTTCTTTGTTTGCGGACGAATCAGCATTCGTGTCTGGCTTACGCTTGGCCAACTTGTCATTCAGCTTATTGCATTCGGATGACGATTCAGCAAATTTGGCTTTGAAGAATGTAGCTTCTTTTTTGCTGCGTTCAGAAGCAGCTTGGAGCGCCTTGATTTCTTCAGCCCAGACCTTTTTTTCGGCTTCGAAGTCATCAATTCGTTGCATAAGTTGGGCGTTGAGCTTGATTTGCGCTTGCATCATTTCGTCCGATTTACGACTAACACCTGGTGAAGCCTTGGCTGCTTGCATCATTTCGCTCGATTGACGACTAACCACAGTAGCTGATGGCGGTACCTTGGCAGAAGCACCAATCGGATTCAAATCTGGAATGGGGCGTTGGTGGTTATCAATGACGCCAAAACGAGGGACGCTTTGCATCCACGGAACACTTGTTTGGACGGTATGAACGCACGTTGAACAGTTACAATTCGGATTTTGTTCGAATTTTCCGCGACCAATTGGTTTCATGCAAGGAGTTTGGATGCGATTTGCCAACGAAGACGCTACAAAATAAAAAAAAAACATCGTAATGAAAATCAACGAAATTGCATCTTCATAATAACGAGCATGCATCCAAATAAAATGGCTAACGAAAACTAACCTGATGATGAACGAGATGTTCGTTTTGCTGGTGTTTGCAATGTACCACTAGTGACAGTGTTATTCAATTTTGGTGGGCGTCCACGTGGCTTGGTCGGCGGCGGAGCAGCAGCACTTACTATATGGATAACAAAGAAATATAAACAATATTAGATAAAGAATAATCCAATATAAATGCATGAAAAGAAATAATGATCGGTAATGAAAAATGCGGCACGAATTACCTGATTTTGCACGAAAGGTGCGCTTTGCTGGCATAGCAACTGGCGATTGGACAAAACCATCCCATTCATCATCGTCCGATGCTAGTGTTGGCAATGAACCATGGACAACTGCGTTCAACGCGCCACTAGTAACAGTGTGATTCAATTTTGGTGGGCGTCCACGTGGCTTGGTCGGCGGAGCAGCAGCACTTACTATATGGATAATGAAGAAACATAAACAATATTAGATGAAAAACAATCCAATATAAATGTGAAATGAAGTAATGATCGGTAATGAAAAATGCGGCACGAATTACCTGACTTTGCACGATAGGTGCGCTTTGCTGGCATAGCAACTGGCGATTGAACAAAACCATCCCATTCATCATCGTCCGATGCGCTTGAACTATCGTTTATTTCTTCATAACGACGCTTGTGATGAGCTTTACCAAGGTGGTGCGGACCAACGCCACCAAATCCAAATGGATTTGGATAGTATGGTGATGGCATTGCAAAAGGCAAATAACCGTGGCCATGGCCGTAGCCGTAAGGACTTTGAACAAATGGAAATGGACTGAAGTCACGGCGGGGAGATGGTGAGCGACGACTACGTTGACTATCGCGACGACCGCGTGGACTATCAATACGTGATTGGTGTTTGCTGGTCTTCATTTTGGTGTCAGTAACCGACGAAAATCGAACGGCTTTCGGTGTTGGCTTTGGTCCAGATCGAGGTTTTGGTTCAATTTTGGCTTTCTTGGGACCAACAGGCTTGGCATTGCCCGAAGCCGAAGCCACACGCTTATTTTGGCTTGATCTTGTGTTTACCATGATTTGAGGTTATGCCGATTCGAATTTCGAAGAATTTCAATGAGATTTAAAGCGTATGTAAACTAGGAGAAAAACGGAAAAAAATGTTTTTATTTCATTTCACGGGCATTCATAGAGGGAGAAATATGAAAAAACGCGTTGAATTTAGTTAAAAAAAACTCTTCAAAGTCAAACACTATTCGATTTGTAATAAACACACAGTGTGTGTCACACACGTAACAAAAATATTATAAAAACCGAATGAAAACACAACAATTTTCAATAAAAAATAGAATGCAACAAATTTGAATCAATAAATTGAACATTTTAAACAAAAAAAATCCAAAAAACACAATATTTTGAATCAATTCATCTATGTTATACTTACATGCGTGTTACAGCTCAGAAGGTTTGTGTGGAATAGAAAGTTCCCTCGTTTTGCTGTCATAGCTGTCAAATCGCCGCTAGTTCCGAGAGCTGCGACTTTTTGATAGGTGGCGTCTTGTTGCAAAAGTCAATGAAAAATTACATTGGAAGCATACAAAGCGAGCGCCCACCGATTTTCACAAACATGTCAAATTTTTCTTAAATAAATTTTTTGTCATTTGAAAATGGTCGTGCCATTTTTGTTCGTTTTGCAAACACTTTTTGCAAAGTATCTGTACTTTTGACTCACTTATCGATCCAAATAAGTATGATGAGTTACGCGTAGCAAAATTCCTGAAGCGCAGTAAAAATACGACAAAAATGGCACGACCAATTTCAGTTTTGAAATTGTCGTGCCGTTTTTCGCTTGTTAGGTTATGAACATAAAGTCATTAGTATTGTGATATTGCATTGCGATAAAAAAGGAATAATTCTTCAAACAATCGATTTGATACACAAATAATCTAGAAAATAAAAAGGATTAACAACAATTGTCTTAAAAGTGTTTATTTTTGTTGTATTTCGGATTTTACAATTGGTTCTTTGAGATTTCATATTTTAACAATAGTTTGGAATAAAAATTTGATTAGGTTTCAAATTACAATGGTACCTATCTAAACAATTTTTCATCGCGATCTGGAGTAACATAATTCACATTTGCACTTGAAGTTCCAGTTGTCTCTTAGGTATTTCTTTCGATCTTCAGTAGATGCAAATTTCATATCACCAAGGTAGTTAATAAATAGCTGTTCCCCCGCTTTAATTGGTTTAACAGCCACGCAATAAGTGATATCATCATCATCAATGTAATGGTTCAAGTTTGGATTGCAGGAGTGATTTATACGGCAAAGGACATCAAAGATTGAAACCTGTACACAAAAGCCGCCCTTACTGCATTTCACTTCCTCATCGAAGGAATTGACTGCTATGCTATTTGCGTGGCGATATGACATGGCGAACAGAATTCGCTTCTGCTCTTCAACATTTAGTGACAGTGATTTGAATCGGGGTTGTTGCATGATTAGTTTGACAACACGTCGGGCTATAGTGCTGTTGGCAACGTTGGGCTGTCCTTTTAGCATTAAAATCTCGCCATAATTTGAATATGGTGGGTGGCATTTATGCGATCTTTTGTTGAAAAACAGCAATCCACGGGCAAATTCGAGCAGTGCCGTGATATCAATTACTGCATTACATGCAGTATTAATAATTTGCGTCACAAGTCGAACGATGCGACAGTCGCTACTTCTGAAAGTAAGGTCGCATTTTTGTTGATGCACTTTGCTCCTTTTACATCGATTGCTACAGAACCAAATGTCTATGCAATTTGGACATTGAATTTTGCACTTCGTCACTTTTCCACATTGAAAACATCCTAAGCCGGAGCAAGCCAAGTATACGATACTGGTGAACGCCGGTGTAGCCATAATGCAGTCTCCAGCTTCAATGTTGCTATTCGCAATGAGGTGTTTTCCGAATCGTTTGTTTTTTTTGTGAGAAATAACTTTAGTCATTCCGGGAAATACATCGTCCGCTTCATATTTCAGTTGCTGTTGAATCGATGGAAGTGAAGACAAATCAAGCGGTGCTGCCACTTTGCTCCTAATTGCATGCACCTGGAATCAAAAATAGGATGATTAATCAATGAATATATGTTCATATGTTCATATGCATAATTTTGAAATTTGTAAATCAACTGATATATGAAAGAATTTCAACAGAAAAAAGACTCACTTTTTCAAGGTGCCGGTTGTAGGTGGATTTCGTCGAAAAATTTTTTTTGCATATCATGCATGTCGTTGTTATGTTTAGGTGTTTCGATTTTATATGTTGTAAAAGACTGTGGCGCCGCTTATATTTTTTATCACAAGAATCGCACTGGGCATCTCCTCTGTAAACTATGTGTTTGTCGTATGGTCCTCGTCGAATACCTTTTATGGCGCCCATTTTTATCTTTAATTCAAACACCAGTCTTTTATCTACGTTCTTATTTATACTACAATTTATTGAACACATTTATATCATTTCAATTGAAAAAAAAATACAATTTAAACCATTGAGTACTTCTCAACACAACACCATATTTCAATAATCAAAATGTTATGACAACAAACATCGAGTGAATTTCATGATGACAGTGTTTGTCAATTAGTTCCACTTTGTTCCACTTTGAGTACACAACAGAGTCGCTGCAGTGGCGCTGATGTCGGTCGGTGGG